AATAGTTTTACCTTTTTATGTGTATTCAGACTTTCCTCGGTGCATTTCAAATCACTTCCAATTTTTTTACTTCTTATGTTTGTTGAAAAGTTTGTTCTGGTTGACCTGGGAATCATGTAGGAACTGAAATGTGAGGTTCTAGTGTTCATTTTTGCTGTTAACATCTAATTATATGTACAAGGCTAAAACTAGATTGAAAACTGTGGAATTAATATTGAATACATGATGGTTTACAAGATATATGGAGTTGGTACTGTCAATGCTTATAAAGAAAACATTTCACATATATAATGACCTGTGCAGGTGACATATCGTAGGATGAAAGATGCCTTGATAACGTTGAGTAAAGGTGTGCTGAAGGGTCCTGCTGCAGATCTAGTTCCTGTATTGTTCGGAGAGAGACAGCCAACAGTATCAAAGAAGGGCACTATCACATTCACTCCATTTAACAAAAACCTTGATCATTCACAGGTGCGTTGTATGGATTCATTGTTTTCATCTTTTCAAATAATTTACTTATTATTTCTTTTCACTGTGTTTCTTTTGTTTTTTTTCTGTTCTTCTCACACTGAATGGTGATGATTTTATGGTTAAAACCTGTTGGCATCAAAACATATTTACACGGCAAAACATATTTATAGGCATAATGCATACTATATGTTTTACAAACAAAAGATCATCCTTTTTGCCCTAATTTATTCATTAACCTTCTTTTGGGGATCAAGAAAGATGCCATTTTAAAGGCACTTTCATCAAAGGATGTATTTTTGCTGCATGGACCTCCTGGAACTGGAAAAACTACAACAGTTGTGGAAATTATACTACAAGAAGTGAAGCGAGGGTCCAAGATACTCGCTTGTGCTGCTTCAAATATTGCTGTTGACAACATTGTTGAGCGACTTGCCACACACAGGTACAATGGCCAAATATATTGGAAAGCATTCTTCAGCCTTAGCTAGTAAAGAAATCTTTCCGGATCTACCTCTGTCTCTGATCCTCACTGTTTTCTACTTTTGGGACCTTATGCCTGTAGAAGGACTATTGGTTTTTTTAGCAGATAAGAACCAAAGGCTTTAAACTACCCATTTTTTTTTCTCGTTTTTGTTTATTGCTCCTTTCACATGATTTCTGCTCAAACTTGAAATGTAAGTAGTTTTTGAGAATTAGGATGTCATATGATTACCTAATTTTCTTTGTTTCTTTTCTTCAGAGTAAAGCTTGTGAGATTGGGGCATCCGGCACGTTTACTACCTCAAGTTTTGGACAGTGCTCTCGATGCAAAGGTAAACCTTTGGTTTTTAAAAGGGAAAAAAAGGTTGACAATGAAATTTGGATGTTATTTTTTTAATATAGGAAGTCAGGAAAAGAATTTTTGTGGAAAAGACATGGGAAACGGATTTAGAGAAGAAAGAAGAAAAGACTTGGGAAAATGGGTCTGAGTAATAAGGTAATAGGTAATAAGTAATAAGAAAAGACTTGGGATCGTGGATGGGATTGAAATGTGTTTGGGAAGTAAAATTTTAATTTGTGTGACCCAATATATACTTTTATATTATTATTATTATTAAAGTTTTCAAATAATCAATTGTTATAATAAGTATGCATTTAGTTTATTTAATTAAATTTACTTATTTGATTAATTTTTTTTAAATTTAATTATATATTAATCAAAATATTAATATTTTTATTTGAGTGAAATATTTTGTATTAAAAAATTTATAAAAAATATTTAATCGTTGTACCCTGCTACACCGGTATCTTGATTTTCTAAAAGTTACCGTGTGGCTGTGTTCATGTTCTGTCATACTTTTATTGTGTCCGAGCTACACATACTTGAACGTTACCCCAGTCCAGTGTTTCACAGAGTTCTTTTAATGCTTTTATTTATGATTATGCGCTTTTGCTTATATGTTGAAAGGATGTCATGGATGCTTCTGGACAATGGTCTTTATCATTTTGTTATCCTTGGTTTTCCCGGGAAAGAAAATAAGTCTTCATGTTCTATTTCTGAGAATTGAGACCCAATCTCGTATCATCACTTCATTTGAGTAGCCATTCCCAAAGTGCAGATTTTCTTTTTGTGTTATCTATTCGCGGATATATCAGCAATAATGATGTTTCCTTTGTTTCCCGAGGCTTGTGTACTGTTCGAAGTGGATGCAACTCATGTTCTTGCATGTATTATTATTTTGATGCTACCACTTGTCTAAATCTTAGCGTGCTTAAATATTTTTTATTATTTGCTCCTAGGTTCTACGAGGTGATAATAGCTCTCTTGCAAATGATATACGTAAGGAAATGAAGGTACATGTTTATGCTATAATTTGAAGTTCCGGTTTGATATAGTAAAGCTAATACACTAAAGAACGATCTATACGTGTGACCTTTGTTTAGGTTTCTTTGTCCTAAAATCAAAAAAAAAAAAAAAAAGGTTTCTTCGTCCTAAAGTGGACTATAATGGCAATATATATTGTTTGAATTAGAGGTTTATCTGTTTAATTTGCATGCGGAATGCGTTTAGACATTCATGGCTTATCTGTTTGATATAGAAGCAAGATATTGTTTAATTTGGTATAAAGGAATTTTTCGTTTCGTGTGTTCTTCTGGAAACTCTACTTTTTTGCTTCAGGCACTAAATGGCAAATTATTGAAAACCAAAGACCGAAATACAAGGAGAGATATCCAGAAGGAGCTAAGAACTCTTTCAAAAGAAGAGCGGAAAAGGCAACAGCTTGCTGTGACTGATGTAATTAAGGACGCCAATGTCATATTGACAACCTTGACTGGTGCATGTTCTCGCAAACTAGACAACACTATGTTCGATTTGGTTATTATTGATGAAGCTGCTCAAGCTCTTGAAATTGCATGCTGGATGGCTCTACTCAAGGTAATAATCTATTGAAATAGTATGTAAAACAGAAAACAGATATGGAGTAACATTTTGTACAGATTAGAGGAAAATGTTTTTAGGAACTGGATCGTCATAAACCTGCTCATTTACATGGTTTTTCTGGCATCTAGTAGTATATAGTTTTCTTCAAGATTTATGAATGTAAAACCTACCTTCTTCCAGGTTTCAGTCTGTTATTTAATATATCTAAATGAAAATTGATATGTTATTTATAAGATTGTGGCTGAGCATCATCCTAGCCCGTAAAGCAATAGCAGATTACAGTCTGACCTAATATGCAATATCCTTATTTCAGGGCGCAAGATGTATACTTGCAGGGGACCATTTGCAGCTTCCTCCGACTATCCAGAGTGTTGTAGCCGAGAAGAAAGGGTTAGGAAGAACCCTTTTTGAACGCCTTGCAGATCAATATGGAGATGAAGTCATGTCCCTGCTCACTGTACAGTACCGCATGCATGAGCTTATTATGAATTGGTCATCTAAAGAGCTTTACAACAGCAAGGTACTGAGACTTTAGTTGTAAGCTTGCTTACATATTTAAGTTGTCGGTTATTAAAACATTTTGTTTCTCTTTCGGGTGCTGATGGCTATTATATCATTATTGCAGGTCAAAGCCCATTCTAATGTTGCTGCGCACATGCTCTTTGATCTTGAGAATGTTAAGAAGTCATCGTCAACTGAACCAACCCTTCTTCTCATAGACACCACTGGGTAAGCTGTTTATTATTGAAATTTGATTACCAGCAAGGGAACACATGAAATGGATTTAACTTTTCATTTAGTGAAATATTTTGACTATTTTATTTCTTGTAACAAAAGTGGGACCAAATGTGGGTAGTAGTCGATAAATGTGTGAAAATGAGGAACCGGTTTGAGTCCACCACAAGAGAGATCTCAAATGCGATGGGAGCCATATATGACTTTGATTTTAATTTGCTATAGGTGTGATATGGAAGAGAAGAAGAATGAGGAGGAGAGCACATTGAATGAAGGTGAAGCCGAGGTTTCTATTTCACATGCAAAGAGACTTGTTCAGGCTGGAGTCCCTGCTTCTGATATCGGAATTATTACCCCTTATGCTGCACAGGTAAAAAAGGTTTTATTCTGAAGTGGTCAATTGTCTCATCACTATGGACTTTCATAACTTTGATTGAAACATTGGAGGACTGAAACACTGTTATGAAGCTGTACCCTCTATTTCTATGCATAAACTCATAGATTCATTGATTTTGCAGGTGGTCTTACTGAAGATGTTGAAAAGCAATGAAGATAAGCTGAAGGATATGGAAATATCCACTGTCGATGGTTTCCAAGGTCGAGAGAAGGAAGCGATTATCATTTCAATGGTTCGGTCAAACTCAAAGAAAGAGGTATTTTTAAACTTCTCTGACTATTGTCAATGGATCCTTTTTGAGTATATGGTAGAAGTCAGTGTTAAATGATGAACTTCATTCTTGGGCTTTCTTATAATTCTGGAATGATATCAGGTTGGATTTTTAAGTGATCTAAGGCGAATGAATGTGGCTGTGACAAGAGCGAGAAGACAGTGTTGTGTTATATGTGACACCGAAACAGTGAGCAGTGATGGGTTCTTAAAGCGATTGGTTGAGTATTTTGAGGAGCATGGTGAGTATCTAAGTGCCTCAGAGTTCTGTAATGAATAAGTGAATAAATATCCGTGAGGACAACTTCATCACAATAGGATTTATGAGGTAATTTTATTCTGTTGGCTTTGGGGTGTTCTGTTCCGAGGAAAATTGGTATCCTCGTGCTATATACGTTTATCTGTAATTTGCAAAAGCAAATGGAAAGTGATGTGATAGACCATCTGGATTATGTGTTTGGTTTTATATTGTTATCAGAATAAGTAAAGCTTAGGCCTGAATACGACATGCAATAACTGAGCTATTGGACCCATCTAATTCCTTTATACAGGAAGAGTTAACTGAGAATTATAAGATGACATGAGATGATCTTACATGCAAAATCACTATATCTATCACTGGGATCTTGAATAACGTCGTTTGCAGTGCACATGTTTCTCCTTCATCTCTGTTGCAGTTTTATCCGTAGGAAACACTTTGGAACCATACTCCAAAATTCTCTTCCATGAAAATTTTCCATCGTAATTTGCACACTCCTGTACTCCCTTCTGCAAGTAATAAATAGCCGGTTGAAATCTTGCAAGAAATCATGGGTCATGTAGTATAAGCCACATGCTTGGTTACTTCACATTTCAGGAAGTACCAGAATTTCTTTAACACCAGTAGACAAGGATGTGAATGTAACTCTTAAATCTGGTCTAGACATCATGACTGAATCTCAGAGATTACAATAATTTATCACAATAACATAAATTATAACGTGCAGCTGCAGCACGTCTATATATAACCCAATAAATAAAGCGGAGTTTTCATTAAATAATGAATGCCAAGAAGTAAAGTCTCAAATCCCATAAAAGCGCAACATCTCAAAATTTCAATTACATTAAATAATTAATTTTGATTGAAAACTTTATTGAGAAAATCATAGTCTCCTATGGTACCTGAAGAAACGTATTATTAGTCGATCCTTCAAGTATCAATCGGAGTCTTAAAAGTCAGTGAAATCTAAACCGACAAAGATTGAAAGAGTGGGTTATAAAGCGCAAAGTATTCTCTAAATGCAACAAATATTAATAGTAAAACATAGATAACTCGTGCATGATGTAATCATGGTTTTCAGAATCGGCGAACCGGTCATGTTATCGGTTCATTGATTCAACTAGTCGAACCGGTCCGACCAGTCGGAAGAACCGGACGACGTCATAATTATTTAAAAAATTAAATAAAAATACCAAAAATATTTAATAAAAAATAATTTTTTATATCACAAGCCATATTTAAAGCAAGTCATAACATATATAAGTTAAAAACCATAAAATCAAGTGAAACAAAATGATTCAAACTAACTACAACATAATATTTAATGTAAAACATATTAAATATTAAATATAATTATATAACTATAATTAAAAAATAAATTTGGGGTTAAAAAATCATAACAAAATGATATTGTTTGGTTTAATTTTTTTTTTAAAAACAATCTCACATGGCTAAGAAACATAGAAGAGCATCCCAAAAGTCTAAAGAGTAAAAATATAAGAACAAAACAATCTCACATTGCTAAGAAACATAAAAGAGCATCACAACTAACTTCTATAAATAATAGAGTTAATTTGACATTCAAAATCATGGAGTCTTTTGGTGAGCATTGAGTGAACTATTCTTTAACTTCAATCAAGCTCGAATTTTAGGCTTCAATCGAGCTTCTAAATTTTTTTTTAGTTCAAGCCTTTTTGAGTTCAAGTTTCAATATTATATTTCGAGTTTGAGTTGAACTTGATAATTTTTAGCTTGCGAGTTTGAGTTGAGTTGAGCTTACTTTTAAAGTTTTCAAGTTCGAGTCGAGCTCAGCAATACTCGAGTTCGACTTGGCTCGTTTAACAAACGACGTTGTTTGGTTTATTTTTAAAAAACAAAAACAAAAATCCCGGTTTTTCTCGGTTTTTTCTGGTTTTTTCCGGTTTTCAACCGGTCCGGTTCGAACGGTTCAGCGGTTCTGGCCGGTTCACTAATAGCGGTTCAACCGGTTTAGATTGATCCGGACTAAGCAACGGTTCCCGGTTGAACCGGTTAAACCGACCGATCCGGTCCGGTTTTCAAAACAGAGGATGTAATACACAACATAATAGTTAGACAACAATAAAATAATTTATTCTTCATCAGAATAATATAAAAGTTCTCACAATCTTACGTTTTGTTATATATATACAAGATGATGACATTACTCTCCAAAGAGGTATCTGGACCTTCCTAAATAAGATCTATAGAGAAACAAAAATTAAAATGATACATTATCCTCCGAAGAGGCACTTGAGTTAACATTTATAGAGAAACTCAAACTAGAAATCATGAAACAAGATGAGAAGATTACCCTCCGAAGAGACACTCGAGATTACCGTAGATAGTATCAATACAGAAATTGAAACCATTATACAAATCATGCATATTACAACATTAATCAAGCTCAAATATGCTTGTGCAATATATAACAAAAAAATATGCCTACAGTTAGAACAATGCAATATAACAATGTAATTATGAACCGTCATGCACTCAAAACAATCCAATAACAAGTACATCAAATTAAACACAACACAAAAAATAAACATGTAGTTCATGTCAAGGAACACACCTATGTCAACTAAACGATACCAGCTAAACGATAACAGCTAAGCCCTATATTTTTCCTGGTCAGTAGTACTAGGTCTTGTCGAATGGGAACTTAATAATAATGTATTACATATGAGCACTAAAGCAATACATACTTAAACATAAACAACTAGTAATGCTTTTAACATAACTCACACGTATCTCGAGTTGAATGCGCAGAGTTCAGCTGAGTCGAACAGAGGTAGTTTGGATCTACTAGAGAGAGCTGCAGTGATATATAATTACCTTCATATTATAATATCAGAGTAAGATCATAAATTCTAGGATTTACTTAATATAAAATGTAACACAAAAACATAAATGTAACACAAAGCAATATAAGATGCAAAATGGAGCTTTTGAGTCAAAATTTGTAAATCAAACTACGAAAATGGACCCAAAACGTCAAAAACATAAACTTAATGGTCAACAATCATCGATCAACGATTCAGATTCAATCCAAGTTAGTGGTTTAGGTCCAGTTCGCGTCAGATTGGTTTAACCTCATAAACCGGTTTGATCGATTGTTGCAAATCTCTTCCACGCGCATAGAGGCGACGCATGGAACGACCTCTGGTGACTAGAACCGCATAAAACTTTCGAGATTCATATTTTAGGATTTGAGGATTCTTTTATCGAGGTTGGTTCGTGTCAGAGATTTGTGGAAATATGATTTTTTTGAAAAATTTGAAGCAATACATACCCGAAAATGGTGATAACAACGACACAAACAAATAGGAATACAAAGCTGAGTCAAACCGAGTCGACAATGACACCCATAACGATGCAAACATCGACAAAATGGAGACCAAATGCAATCAATCCTTTTACTTTCGAAAATTCTCATATATGCACCAATTTTAATAAAACTGTAAATTTAACCTTAACTTAGGGTGTGACATTGAACTTCAAAACTATCAACTCTTTATAACTACTAGAAGTAATCTATGACAGAAAGTAATTAGGCTGAGCATCTCTTCTTTATCTTTCTTCCATAGAACCTTCTTTCTATTACACAATCCGAGACAAATAAATAAAAGAAAAAAATATTATTAAAGTAGAAGGAACATTTTAGAGTAAAGAACCTGAATAATAACAGAGTATTGAACTTGAAACTGGTTTAGGCCTGCAACTAAACAGTTTCCTTAAGACAGATTTTCGGCCACTCATTGGTTCTCGAGATGTCTTGGTCGTCTGTCTCCCATGATACAACAACAATATGATCAGCACGCAATAACACAACTTTAGAGATCACAAACTTTATCTTGCTAGAGAATATCACCAAAAAAAAGAGAAAAAAAAAAGAGTTCTTGAATAGTGTTTAACCTAGCAGGTTAGTACGATATTTATAATGTTTCACAAGGGAGACAAATTGGGAATAATATATTCGGGCTATTAATTAGTATCCAAATAAAATAAAAATAATTAATTAATATTGCCTTAAATATATTTCGGTTGTTAATAAGTATCCAAATAAAATTGAAAATAATCAATTAACACCATATCATATCGAATATATTCGTGAATTGCAAGTAATATTTAAATTAAAAGGAAACCACATAATATCTTTTTTAATTCAGATTATTGAAAAACTTAAGAAAAATATTTAATTCATAGTGGGTATTTAAAATGTCCACAGGCCCCCGGAAGGCCCGATCTGTCTGGACATTCGTGTTGCCCACGCCATGTGGGTACACCCCCAACCCCAAAGGGTTTGGCGAGCTTGGATTTAGACTGCTCGCGCCTGCCCGTGAGGCACAATTTCAACCCAAGTCATTCAATGACTAGCAAGTTGGTTTGTGTATATAAACTATTTCCTTGCTTGATATCCCACCAATGTAGGATATGGGTTTTCCCATTTTCTTTACACGACAAAATTCACATGTACCATACTTTGAGAATAAATTTCTCATTCATCACTCAACTGTTTTGAGCATATGAGATACTTTTGTAAAGATCTCACATAGTAAAATATGAATCAGTAAATTCATCATTCGATTTTCCATCTTCACACTTAGAAAATATGCCTCAAGGTTTCCAATTTATCACATTTTTCCAATGATCCCCCATATGAATGAAATTGATGTTTTTATTAAAATATTTTGACTCGATGTGGTGATAAACCCTACGAACGATAGTTGCATAGAATCGATAGGTGTCATCCATTGAACCTTCCCTTGTGACAGTATATTTACTTCATGGCTAATTAGTAGATATGATATACTTGAACTGTTCTGTAGTTTGTGTAAATGATGATATACATCACACAACTATTTTTCTGACAAGCATGTTAGTTCTCACTGGTATGTCCATATAGCCATGGACATCGCCTAGTTCTACAAGAGTTTGGGAGAACTATGCCCTATAGTCTCCTTGAAGCAGCCACACTTCACTCTCACATAGGTGACTTATGTTGCTCAACTCATCGATGCACACGATGGTCATTAAAAACCTTGCTTAGCCTAAACCAATTTTGATCACTGTTTACATTATAGGAATAGACTTGGGATAAGAATCCCCTCACTGACCGCACACAATTTATGTAATTATGTTGTCCCTTTGAACCTAGATCTAGGGATTTATTGTCAACAAGGTAGGGTTTTCCTTCACATAACACCTTTAATTTCCATGAACTTTAGTCCTATTCCTTTAGATGTTTTCTCAACTTGATTTCAATTTAACCCTTTGGTTAGTGGATCTACGATGTTATCCTTTGATCTTATAAAATTAATAGAGATAACTCCATTTAAGATCATATATCTAATAGTATTGTGTTGATGACACATATGTCTCGATTTACCTTTATACATAAAATTCTATGCTCTAGCAATTATTGCTTGGTTGTCACAGTAAATACATACTGTAGGCACATGTTTTGGCCATTCAGGTATGTCCTCAGTAAAATATCGAATTCATTCTACTTCTTCTCTAGACTTATTTAGAGCTATAAACTCAGATTCCATTATGGGTCTAGTTATAACCGTTTGTCTTGAGGATTTCCATGACACAGCTCCTCCTCCCAAAGTGAATATATATACACTTGTACATTTGGTGTCTTGAGTATATGATATCCAACTAGCATCGGAGTATCCTTCTAAGATGATAGGTTCTTTGGAATAATGCAATCCACAGTCTCGAGTATATCTGAGATATCTCAATATCCTCGTTATCTCTTTCTAGTGGCCTTTTCCTGGATTGCTTGTAAATCTACTTACATTGCTCACAGTAAAAGTGATGTCTGATCTAGTGCAGTTCATAAGATACATTAGATTGCCTATGACCCATGTATATTCCATTTGATGAACACATTTAACATGATTTTTTAGGCAAATGTATTGGGGTTCTGGCTATATCAGAATCATCCTTGTTAAATTTCTTAAGAATCTTGTCCATATAGTGTAATTGAGTTAATATGAGGCCTTCAGATGACCTTTTAATTTATATGCCCAAAATAGTTTCGGTCAATCCCTCATATTTCATGTCAAACCTTGACTTTAACATGTCTTTGATACATTTTACCATTTATTTGTTACTTCCAACAATGAGTATGTCATCAACATATAAATATAGAATCACATAGCCTATGTCTGTGTTTTTGGCATATACACACTTGTCACACTTATTTATCTTGAAGTCATTTGTAATCATAACATTATTGAACTTTTCATGTCATTATTTGGTGTTTATTTAAGTCCATACAAAGACTTCACAAGTCTACATACTTTTCTTTCTTTTCTTGAGACTACATGACCCTCAGGTTGTTCCATGTATATTTCTTAATCAAGATCTCCATTTAGAAAAACAGTTTTAACATCCATTTGATATACTTCTAGATTTAGTAAAGTAGGAATTACAAGTATCATTCTTATGGATGTTATTCTTGATACATGAGAGTATGCATCAAAATAATCAATGCATTCCTTTTGTCAATGAACTTTTATTACCAATCTAGACTTATCAAATTTTCCATCTACTTTCATTTTTTTGTTTGAAAATCCATTTCGAACTTAGTGGTTTTAATTCTGGAGGAAGATCCACTAATTCTCATGTATGATTTTGCATGATGGAAACGATCTCACTTTTAATGGATTCCTTCCATAAGGTGCCTTCCAAAGATCGTATAGCATCATTATACGCTCGAGGTTCAGCCTCTAGCATATAAGTTAGGAAATCTGATCCAAAAGATCCTTCCACCCTATCTCGTTTGCTCATTCTTATCTCAATTTTAGTTTCAACCTCTTATTTATCATCTAGACTATCTCCATTGTTAGTCTCTAAAGTTTATTTTATTAAACTATGATCAACCACCCTAAACTTGTAAGGGAATACATCTTCAAATAATGACATATTCTTTGATTCCATTATTGTGTTCTTATGAATCTCATAATTCTTTGATTCATATACAAAAAACTGATATGCATTGCTATGTTATACATAGCCAATATAAATGCAATCCACAGTTTTAGAACCTATTTTCATTTGTTTTGGTAATGGGGCCATTACCTTGGCAAGACACTCCCACATTTTCAAGTGTTTGTATGAAGGGTTTCAGTCTTTCCATAACTCATATGGTGTCTTATCTTTTTTCTTTCGGGGTACCTTATTTAAAAGGTAATTTGATGAAAGAACATCTTCCCCCACATATTTTGTGATATCCCGGAGCTTCCTAACAAAGCGTTCATCATTTCTCTTAGAGTCTGATTTTTATGTTCGACTACTCCATTAGATTGAGGAAAATAGGGTGGAGTTACTTCGTGAATAATACTATGTTGTGAACAAAATTCACCAAATGGTTTAACATATTCACCACCACGATCACTTCTCACCATCTTAATCCTTTTATTAAGTTGGTTTTTGATTTCCTGCTTATAGAGTTTAAATTTCTCTATAGTTTCATCTTTGCTCTTGAGTAAATAGACATAGCAGTACTTCATGATATCGTCAATGAAGGTAATAAAATATTTATTCCCTCATCTCATTTTTACAAATTTTATGTCATAAATGTAACTATGCATTAAATCAAGAGGTTCATTATTTCGTTCAACTGTTTGAAACGAAAATCTTGTTAATTTTGCCTCAACACATGTTTCACATTTATGTTTATAATTGATGATAAATGGAGGGATGTGTTCCAAATTAATTAACCTACGTAAGGCATCATTATTAACATGTCCAATCCTATCATGCCATAAACTAAATGACCCAAGCATATAAACGGAAGAAGAAGTGATATTCTTATTCATACTTTTGGCTTTTACAGAGATTTCATTTAGTTTCCACATATCATTAGATACACACCCTCTACCCACAAACATTCCCCTTAAACAGAATTAACTTTTGGGATTCAAACACCATCCTAAAGCCGTGAACACTTAAGAGTGTCCCAGATACAAGATTCTTTCTAAAGTCAGGAACATACAATACATTTTGTAGCTTGAGTTTTGTTCTAGAAGTCATCTTCAAGACCATAGTACCCTTTCCCTTGATCTTGAAAGTCACATCATTGCCCATGTAAAGCTTATCCCCATTTCTGTAAGGTATCAACTTAGTAAAGGAATCCTTGTTGCAACAGATATGTCGTGTGGCTCTAGTATCGAGCCACCATTCTCTTAGGTTAGAGCCAACCAAGTTGACTTCAGATATCACAACACATAGATCCAAATTCTCCATGTTCTTAACAATTCCTTCCACAACATTTGCCTCATGAGCTTTGACTTTCTTTGGTTGTCTGCATTTAGTAGACTTGTGCCTCATTTTTTCACAGTTGTAGCACTTTCCCTGGAACTTTTCCTTCTTGGAAATTCCTCCTTTAGGTCCCAACTTTGACATATTCTTGGGATGGTTTCCCTTCTTGAAGTTCTTGGTTTCAACCATATTCGCCTTAGCCTCCTTGAAGGATTCATTGTTGAGCTTTTTTCCATTAACTTTATTGTCATCTTCAATACAAAGTCTGACAATAGGTTCCTCCATGGTCATTTCCTTCCTCTTATGCTTCTAGTAATTCTTGAAGTCATTCCATCTGGGAGGTAGCTGCCACTTGGAATAATTCCCTTATAACCATATTCTCAGCGATAATTCCGTTAATAATCAGTTGGAATTCCTCCACTTGCTTTACTACTGGTTTGGAATCAACCATAGCATACTTCAAGAATCTAACAACTAAAAATATTTTAGCTCCAACATCTTCGAATTGATATTTATGGTCTAAAGCCTCCCATAATTTCTTTGTTGTCTAATACGTATAATACACTGAATATAGTGAATCATGTAAATAGTTCAGGATATAATTCCTGCATATGAAGTCAGCGTGCTTCCAAGCTTCAACCAAATTGAATGCAATGATATTATCCATATCTCATTCTCCTTCTTTAAAGGAATGAGGATATTTCTTTAGGTACTTAGCATAGCTTACCATGGTTAGATAAAACCACATCTTTTGCAACCATATCTTGAAAATTTCCCCACAAAATTTCAATGGCCTCTCGCTATGGTTAACTGCCACTGCTGATTGATTCGCATTCGGCTTATGAACTGGAATCATCATTCTAGTATCCAAACTGGGAAACCTACTAGAATCTGTTCCTTCCATTGTTCTATAAAAGAAACATAAACAGAATTAGTAACCAATATTACTACATTGACAATTTTTGTCAAAACTGATTTGTCCACTCTAAAAAAAACCAGTTAAAACATCATGATAATTCCTGAAAACGAATTAATTTGCTTCGATTTTGACAAGTTTTCTGGCTAGTCCCGGATTTGTTCTCAAAAAGGTAGAAACAAATTAAATTTGGAATAGAGGTTGTGAAGCTATTGTTATGGCTTGGGAATCAACATTGCAAGAAATAAATTAAATCTGCAATAGTATCTATATGTTTTCAATGTAATACCACAAAAAAATTGGCTAGTGATAAAATTGAATAAATTGAAAGTTTGGTGTCCAAAGTATAAATTGGGAAAAGTTTAGGAACAAAAATAATAATTTTTTAAAATATGTATTTTATCTTGTAAATGAATAGTTTACCACAAAGAATGAAGTTTTGGTGTTACTTAGAATTTTGGTTTAAAGTGTTAAAATTTGAGAAAATTTTGGATAGTTAGATTGAATAGAAAGTTCAAGATATTTTGTTGGATGATAGGGTAAGGGTAAAAATATTATTTTCACGCTTTAAAATGTTAGGGTTCAATATGGACAATTGGATTTAAGTTAATTTTCCATGCTAAATCTAAGTCATTGGATGAAAATTGACAAGATTGTAATTATGGATTTTTTTTCAAAGACAAAGTTGGTAACTACTAACTCACTAACTCCATGGATTCATCTTGGCCCTTGGATGAAAAATTGGTCATTTAGCGCATTTAGGAGCCTTGGATTTAAAGGTAAATTAGTTATTTTCCATTAAAATAAATTTTAATTTCATTTGGTGATTAAAGCGGACAAAGTGGTTTCATTAAGTGAGAAAGAAAAATCAATAAATTGTTCATCTTTTCTTCATTGCAATCGTGTGTTACGAAGGTAAGATAGAACTTTCTTTTGATGTTTCAAGCCTTTTGATTAAGAATTTTTTATGAACCCATGAAATACAAATTTTATTTACATTAAATTCTTTATCATTTGGTACCTTTAATTCATGGTTTTCTCATGTGTATGCTTATATTTAGAAGGTGTTATATTTTAGGGTTATGTTGATTTATGAGATTTAAGTCTTTAATATTATGGGTTTGGTTTTTTATCCTTTTAATGTTTGAAAGATGATAAAAATCTATAGAAAATGACATATAATATATTCGACCAATTGAAGAAATTCATGGAACTTGGATTTTGATTTGGTGTTTGATGTATAAATGATTATGATGTTTAGATATGATGTTCGGAAGAATAATTCATACTTGAATCAAGTTGGAAATCATATCTTGTTAGGATAATGATTTTCGGTCATTGTAGATAATTTTAAGAAAAATTATTCAATGTTATTTTAATGTTTGACATGTTGAAGTAATGATTTATAAGCTTTAGAATGTTGTTTGGATCAAATGCAAGCATGAATACCTCTAGAGGTCAATTCCACATATGTAAGAAATAAAGGGTTGATGATTAAATTTTATGGAAATTAATGTTGCATTCTTGAAGGAATTTTTGGAAGCTTGAATTCAAAGTTAAATCTCAAGGGACAATTTCGATAATTGATGAAAATATTGGGAATAATTTTGAAAGAATACATTTTGAAGTGTATAAGTGAATGATTAGTGTTCAAACTTCATTTTAGTGGTTAGATTGTGACATTGGTCATATTTAAACTAGTGTAATTGCTTTTTGTATGGAATTTGGGAAATTGTTCATGTTTACATCGATATAAGTATGAGTATATAAAATTTGTGAGTATAGAGTTCTTATGTGATTTACCCTTTGAATTTGATATTGAGATATTCGAAGATAAAATATGAGGTTTAAGCGAGATTTTGGTATTTAAGGATTTTATGAATCCTATGAAGTGTAATTAAATTCGATTGAGAATCAAATGATTTTTTTAGAATTTTTTTATATTTTTGTGCATTGTTAGAATGAATTCTAACATATTTCATTGATTTTTAGTTACTATGTAATTTATGTGTGTGAACAATCATAGTTCAATCGAGGTGAAATGAATAACAAAGGAAATGAAGATAGCTTTTATAAAGCTTTAGGGAAAATTACATTCTGGTCGATATTTAAAGTCGAGTTGAGTGCATGTTTATGGTGTTTTTTATGTTAAAGTGGAAACATTGACTTACAACGAGCCAGTGAATTAGTTAATATGATAAGAAGTGACTCTTGAATGTTATGTGACTGTATGATATATGTATTGAGGTAAATATGCATATAAAAAATTAATTGAATTAGTGACCAAGTTAGATATGAAAAATAAGAAAAACAACCTAAATTTTATGGTCTTGACAGTAGATTCACAAAATCACCATAAATTCTATAAAGACGTTTAGAATGTGATTTTATACTATTTTAATCGTATATTAGTATAGCCTCGTTTAAAATAAATGAAAATTGATTTCAATGTGTATATTAAAATATGTGAATTTTTAACCAATGATAGGTCCGAAAATAAGGCAGTTGTTTATGCTCTAGATAGATTATGGAAATTAGATTAGAAAATCTGTCATAAATTGTACATGTTAAACTATAAAAATTAATTTATATAACTGAATTTGTATTCTGATATAGTTTATAATAAAACAAACATACTTAAATTCTAGTGTGTATATTAATACAGAAAATTAATTTCTTTAAAGGTAGCGCAATCTATCATACTAGAAAAATGAGAGGTAAATCATGCATTTGATTATACAATGATGTTGTATGTCATCGTAAATGATTAAGAGAAGAAAACTCTACTATATTGGTGTGATACTTATGATATCTATTATATTATGGACATATTAATTATGTGTCAAAAGTTGAATATAAAATGCTAGTTTATTATATCACCGTAAAGGATTGCTAGTTTATGTATGATGATATATCATTATGAGCTACCCAATGTTAAATTATATTGACATACTTTTCCATGGATGAAATAAATATTGAATATATGCCCAAGTATATAATTGAGGGACATATGTATAGTAAGCAGGCCATAGAATCTAGCAGCACGTTGCATACTCAATTTAGCATTATAGTGTATAATAGCACACTTAGTGCAAGTGGTGGGCATGACCTTATGTGAATATATAAATTGCACTTTGGTGCATATTTTGACTTGTGTAACTAAGATTATCATAGACTTATATTTGTTATATAATTATTGGATAATAAATGATAAACATATGAATAAGCTTATGAGCTTGAAATAAATGGTTAGTATATTAGTAAGAAATTATATACACTATTTATTTCATGTTAATATATGGTAACATGATGGTGATACAAGTACAATGATCATGATGTATTGAGTATTATTATTTATTTATATTTATATTGTATTGCACTGATTATTATTAATGTCTTACTAAGTGTATACTTATAGTATATGATGATTTTCATGCGAAGGTTAAGAGCAAAGATCGAAGTAAGGAGTGCATGGCATTTTATTTATCAAGAAGCATGTCTACAATATTATTAATGACATCCATATGATTGATTTTAACTGTACTAGATGCATGTATATTTTATTAGTATTGGTATAATCTTTGCTAAAACATAGTTTGTAATAAGTCTATATTGACATGAAACTTATTATATTTATTATGTGATGAACATGTTGATTATGTGTCAAAAGTTGAATATAAAATACATGGATCGCTACTTTAAGTATGATGATGTATCATGAAAGTTATTTCGTATATGAACTACCCAATGTTGAATTATATTGATATACTTTTCATGGATGAAATAAATATTGACTACCCAAGTATGTCATTTAGAGAAAGAGGTATAGTTGGCATACCATAAAGTTCAACAACACGTTGCATACTCAGTTTAATAGTATAGTATGTAATAGGACCTCTAATGCAAATGGTGGATACAACTTTATGTGTATAATGGTGGACACGACCTTATGTGTATATATATTCACACTTTGGTCATATTTTACCTCGTGTACCCAGGGCTCTCATAGACTTTTATTTGGAGTATTTTATTGGTTAATAAATGATAAACAAGTGAATAAACTTATGAACTTATGAAATAAATTGTTAGTCTATTGGTAAAAAAATATATACATTATTTATTTTATGTTAATATATGATAACATGTTGTTGATATAGGTACAATGATCATGATGCATTGAATATTGTTATTTATTTACATATATGTTGTATTGCACTGAATATTATTAATGCTTCACTAAGTGTATACTTAGCATGTGATGATTTTCATGCGTAGGTTAAAAGAAAAGATCGAAGTAAGGAATGCATGGTATCTTATCTATCAAGAAGTATGTCTATAATATCAGTAATGACATCCATCTGATTGATTTTGACTGTACTTATTGGCATGAATATGTTATTAGTATTGCTATAACCTATCCTCAGACATAGTTTATAATAAGTCATAAGCTAGCTTATGTTAGTCATTGATGATTTATAGTTTATTGTTAAGTTAAGAAATGGTTTTAAAGAAACAAATTTTTACTGATTTTCGAAAAGAATTGTTTTGTAAGTTTTATATGACATTTTTGACTCATGTTCGGTGACATATATGGGAAGGGGTATTACATCCAGAATTTCCAATGTAATATTTCACCCTTTTTTATCTTGATTCGTTCCTCTTACACGGATCTCTGGATGATCATCAAATTATTTTTTATGTTATGCCACATGGTGTGACAGTGATTGTAACACCCTAAATTAGGGTTAGTAGTTTCGAGTTTACCCGATAGGTAAGTGAACCTTGTGAAATTTATAAATTAAGTTATTGGGCTTAATTAGTTTGGATTTAGGGCCCAAATAGTCACAAAAATGGGATTTTTAATTAAGGGGCAAAATATAAAGGACCTAAAGTGTAATTAAACCATTGTTGGTTTTGGAAGATATTGTTGAGCGTTTTAAAGGGGTTTTAGCCTTGGGTTTCCTTCCCACTTCTCTTCTCTTCATTCTTCTTCTTCATTTCTTCTTCCTTCATCTCCTTCAAGTGACTATAGCTTCAAGGTAAGATCTTGAACCTTTTTCTAGCTTTGTCTCGTCATAATAAACCTCTAGCAACCTTATTTTTTAGAATATTCAAGCTTTGGGTTTTGTTTGTATGAAAAAAGGGGTTTTCTCCATCCAAGCCTTGAGGAGGTTGATTTCTAGCTAAAGGAGGTTTATTTCGGGATTCAAGCATCAATGTAGTGTATTTATAATCTTTTGGAGTATTAAGGTTTCATAAATCCATGGTTTTTGCTAAGATTTGATGATTTGAGCATTTTAGGGTTTATCTTTGATTTCTCAAACAAATCATATTTTAGGTGTTAATAGCATGTTTTAATGATGCCAAATGACCCTAAATAACTTACTAAAACTTTAGAATAAGTTTAGAAACCAACCTATGTCGTTTGGAGTGATTTTGAGTGATTCCCGAGTTTAAGCAAGTCATTCCCAGAAAAAGGATCGATCCCTAGGCCAAAGGGATCGATCCTAAAGTTTCTGTCGAGTAAAGGATTGATCCCTTTTCAAAAGGATTGATCCCTTAGAGAAAATGATCGATCCCTCGAAAGAAATGATAGATCCCTTCTTTGTTTTGCTCGATGAAAAAGGATGGATTTGTATTTATTAAAGGTCCCTAAGTGTTATTGAATATTCTTTTGACCCGTTTAAAGTCCGTAAGATCTAAGAACGATCCGTAATAGTAAGACTTAGTCCGTGAGGGACATAAATGATCCAACATACCTAAAAACACTCGTAGGAGTAGGTTACACCGGGTGTAACCATATTAAGCAAAATACACCAGAATATCTTCAATCGAGGACGTATACGGATGGTTGGGATTGAGGATCAGTACATTAGATACCCGATGAGGGGTACGATAAACATGTCAGATTCAATATCGACGAAGAGTGTGGTGATTCAAGAACATCAGTGAACCGAACATGGATAAGTCGTACCACTACTTCAAGAGGTATTGGGAGAGTACAATAAGAGCTTTAGGAGTGTTGTTACCCAAAAACGAGTCCGATTCAGGTATCGGGCTAACTTGTGGATCAATCAGTGTACTGCAAACACCATAATCACCGAGAAATTATGAAACGCTTAGAGACCTCTCCAGAGGTACAAATGAATAAAATACCTTATAAGTAATAATACCCCTCATATAACATCCTAGGCAAGAGGACGAGCGGGATAGTGTAAGGTGAAAAGGATATGACATCACTTGACTTTGATAAGTTGAGTAGCGAGTAATCGAGTTACTTCACCTACTGCAGTGTGGCATCAGTTGACGTGTGTTAAGGCATAGCTCTAGATGAGAGCCTTATAATAATAATGAGATAATAACATTAATTGTGTGATAACCATAAAAGCCTTATGAGTTAAGATTTCATATGTGTGTCACTCCGGAAACGATGAGGAGACTCGAGTAACTTTAGGAATAGGACGATTGTCTTTAGTGTATATGATATTCAGATATATCCAAGTCAGTTCAAGATGCAATTTAGTCGCTAGTTGAACGTGGTACTGATGCTATGTGACCTAGACACGTTTCGAGTACTCAAGAGGAATAGACTAGCCAGACAAGGTGTTCGATATTGTGTGACCCAGACCTAGCCTAAGGTATTGGGAGGTGTTGATGCTATGTAACTCTGACCTCGCCTGAGATACTTGGAAGGTGTCGGTGCGATGTGACCTAGACCTCACTTGAGATACTTGGGAGATGTTGATACTGTGTGACCCAGGTCTACCCAAGGTACCTCTATTAAGCAAACAAAGGTGTGAGTTTCATGATGCTATGTGACCCCGAGCTACACCACGATGCTTACTTATTGTTGAGTGATAGTACCAGCTTCTCTACGATATCAGATATTATCATTATGTTTGGCATGGTGATGCATTATAGAATGATAATGAGGTTAGAGACTTAGTACTTGTATACTCATGGTGGGACTCTTAGAAAAGACAAAGGGAAGCATGAGGTGTAGATTCGAGAGATAGAACTAGAGGACGTTATGTAGGTAGCACTGATTGGAATCATGCTTGTACTTATTGCTTAGTATTATGTCTTCAGCATACTAGTGTTTATGAAATTCATATGCTGCTCTAGATTAGCGATTATACTGTTGGGCTTTGTAAGCTCAGCCTTCGGATGTTTTCTATTGGCAGGTTCGTAGCTTGAGCAGTTCGTGGAGCACCGTCACTGCATGACTTCCAGCATCTCCGACAAAGTACTATATTGTAGCTTTAGTGTAACACATATCTCCCGTATACCTTTCCGTACACGAGATACATATGTCACATCACTTAAAAACATTTACTTATTTGAAAATCCGTCAAATTTTGTTTCAAATCTTAAATCCACATAATTTAACATAATGATTAAATATTCATTGAAATGCATTACTAAAACTATCACTTTAAATACATTACAAAATATTTTCTTAAGCTCAATTACATGCCAGCTAAGTTTCAAAATAATTATGATTGTCCTTCTGTTACTGACTAGTCAACCTTAATTGATGATAGTTGTTGCTACTGCTGCACTCCTTACTTGCATAGTCTCCACTTTTACCTACGCGTGGAAGCAATACACATTAAGTATTTACTTAGTAAGACATAACATTGTAAAGAACATTAATTTTACACATAAGTATATCATGGTTATTTGGTTTTGAACTAACTTTATATCATCCATAAGGATTGGATAAGTCCATATTATTTAAACCAAAATTCTTTCATACTATCATCGTAAACGTTCATGGTATTTCCAACATACTTTTCTTTCTGTACAATATTCCCATTACTTTTTAGTCATTATTCATTATTTTCATTTAAAGAATCCTTTCATGCCTTTAATGCATCGTTATGCATTTCATTTATGGCATCCTTTCATGCCTTTCATGAACCGTTATGCATTTCATTTATGGCATCCTTTCATGCCTTTCATGCACCGTTATGCATTTCATTTATGGCATCTTTTCATGCCTTTAATGTATCATTATGCGTTTCATTTATGGATTCGTTTTAGAGCAGTTCATACTCTAAAACTCATTCATAATATTCCTTCTATACATGTAATGATAACATAATAAATACTATAAACACACATTAATTAAAATGTTCTAATTTGAATCATTGAGAATCTTCTTCATCTCAAATAATTACAATAAATGTACTCACCTGGTAATCTTTGCTAATAAGATATATAGATGTCTGGCTATTCAACAACTTTATTTTTGCCCTTTTTCTTGCTAGATTCAGGAGCTTAGTTATGATCTACACAAGCATCCATTAAAGACATATACCATACCAAAAGTTAGTATATTCCCTAAAATTTATACTTTAATAATACTAAAAAAAATACCATTATTTCAATTTCTATAACAATTTCAACTTATATTATAGTTCCAGGCTCAATAGTATCGGTACCACTACCATGATATCGATACTTCTATACTATGGTACCGATACCCTCTCTCAGTATCGATACCATTTATACATTCTGTAATGCATGGCATCGATACCTTTCTCTCAGTATCGATACTATTATACTATAGTATTGATACCCCCTTTCAGTATCGATACCATTTTGACATTATGTAATCCATGGTATCGATACTTTCCCTTTTAGTATCGATACCCCATTAGTATCGATGCTACTTACATCGGTACCGATACTGTTCATCACATTTCTACCAATTTAAACCTGTAGTATGTTTTTCTATCAGTGCCGATACCCTTACCTAGATTTTTACTAAATTTTCCCCTCTAATATCTTACGTTTACCTCCAACAATACTATTTAACTCTTATTTACTTAACACAACTAACTTTCATTCA